GGATCTGATCCAGGTCTTCTTCCTTTCTAACGTCCCTGCTGCTCTGACGGCGCTACTCTCCCATTTATTACTCATTTACTCTGCAATTATGCCGCTCATCGTTAGCCGTTCAATGACACCAAGACGTACGACATCTTTAACTGACATGACACGAATAATGCAAATGGGAGCAGGTCGCCGCCATCGCCGCGATGTGCGTCCAGACGAAGGCGGAGTACCGGCCGCTGATGACGGACGTGGTGCAGTCGCTGATCCCCATCGCCAAGACCACCCCGGCCATGTCCTGCTCCTCTACGCCGCTCAGACCGGCCTTGCAGCACGTCATCTTCATGGGCCCGCAGTGCGGCGGCCACTGGATCGAGTCGGCCATCAACTAAAGCGAATTCTCATTCCTTGTTCCTTGATGTATAGAGCTCCCCTCTTCTCCGGCCAGGATCTGCAAATGCATCATTGCAGTATAACATCGTGATTGTATTCAGGCGAAAGCGTACGGCGTATCATTTATTGGTACGAACTACCTTAAAGATAACATGAAAATAGAAATAAACATGCTTTTTTCTTCTTCTTCTCATGAGCTTGCTGTTCCTTTGAACAATGTTTGTGTTGTGTTTATATTGGTCTATCTCTACTTCCGTACCACTGAAGAAGAGCGAAGGACCTGCTTGGTTTCTTCGCCGGGGAATGTTACACCATCCTGATGAGCGAGGATAGCACGTGCAGTGCCTGTTTGGTTCTCTTATTTGGGCGCTTTGAGAGACCGTGCGAGTAAGATTTGGCTTGCTCGCGTGGGAGAGCCAAATCGGCTCGCCTGCTCGGGCGAGCGCCTCATTGCTTACACCGGTGCAGCAAGGCGAGCAAAGCGAGGCTGCGTCAGAAGCCAAGCAGCCCCAAAGTGTCTGCGTCGTCCGTTACACAGTTTTCATCTGACCTCTTCGTCCGCTCACTGCTAATTTTGATCTCTTGCGCTACTATGAACTTGTTAGTTGTTCTGGAAGGCTGGAACCGATTATTGTTATTTGAGTAGTAGAAAACGTTATAACATGTCTAAGTTTCCTCTGTTATTTCAAAGTTACACAGAAGTTGCTATTGGAAATCTTTGCTAAAGTGTCAGTAGATAAGATTGCTAGCTATTGCACAAAAGTTGTTTCTGATGGTGCAGTAAGTATTAGCCAATCAAAATAAGTCTTTAGTTGGATCTATGCAAGCTTTTTTGAAAATTGGAAATCTTCTAAAACCCGTTTGGCAGGGCTTCTTTGTGGCTTCAGAAGTCGTTTGGAGCCGTTCTGTGCCAAACAGGGTAAAATAAAATGGCTTCACCTAGGAAGCCCCTTAAATCGTGCCCTCACACCCGACTTCACCTCATTCTGTATGACGTTCTGTGAGAGCACATTTTAAGGAACTCTATATGTAGAGCTGTTTTGCCAAATGATTTACCAAAACGGCTCCAGCTTCACCCATGGAGTTGTTTATGGAGCTAACACCCCCCAACCCCCAAAAAAAAATAGCTTCACTGGTGGAGTGGAGTGAAGCTATGCTGAACGGGGCCTAAGTCATATCTGATTTGTTTTGCCAAATGGCAACTGCTTCAGCATTCCTAAAAACGAGCATGACAGCGGCCATCCATGACCTCCCCCTGCCTCCCCGTCCTGCCCGGCGTGCCACCTCTTGGATCTTCCTCTCGTGACCATGGCGCTTTTTGGGCCAGTCCGACACGAAAAAATCCCAGCAGGCTGGCCAGGCACGAAGCCTAGTACGGCATGACCCAACGGCGCAGCATGCCGGGCATGTTTGGTTAGAAGCCTGGAAACTTGCCTGGTAAAAAGTGATGCCTGGAAGTTGTCTAAAAAGTGGATGGTTTTTGTCTGGTGAGGCAATTCTGAAGAAAAACTATTTGGTGGGAGGCATGTGCCTGAGAATGTTAATAAGAGGAGATATTCATAATATCAATGTGTTAACGGTTGTTTGTGATATATAATTAGCATATAGCTTTTGCAGTTTTACTAAAAAAATATTTGTATAAATATTTTAATTAGTTAAATAAATATAGAATTATTTATAAATCTAAAAACGTTATTTTAATTAGATTTATTTTAGATTATTAAGCTAATAAAATAGAAATAATATGTATTCATATTAAATTAATCCATAATGGTACACATTTGCCTTAATAAAATAGCTAATGTACTTTTGCCTTAATTATAACGGTAGTTAAATAGCTAAAGCAATCAGATCAGTCATTGGAGTAGTACTGATCCAGGCAAAGAAGCAGCAGGAGCCAGACGACCGTTTTTCTACGCCTGGAGTCCGGCCGAAGATGCCTGGGGCAGGCAACCCACCAGGTCTGCAACCAAACAAGGTGCAGTCAACTTCCAGACAAGTTACAGGCGAGGCATTTTTCTCCCAGGGTTCAATCCAAACATGCCCGCCATGCCTGGCCTGTGCCAGCGTGCGTGTGTCTGGCGGACGGCCCGAATGACCATCTATACATAATTTTCTGCACACAAGCAGAGGCTGGAGCCTAGTTTCATCTTCACTGAGCTCTGCTCCTGTGTAAAAGCTTTTTTCTAGTCTTCTAGAGCGTCAATGTTGTTCGTGAGGGTAAAACCTACCATTACTCGCAAAAGGTTGCATAATATGTACTTTTTTTTTTCCAAAATAAATATCATTCTCACTTCCGAATAGTCAAAATCTTTTAACTTTGACTAAATTTCACACGTGCTATTCTACACCTAGGTGTAGAACAATATTCTACACCAAACTGTTATACCAAAATTCAGTAGTCGCGTGGCGGTAGTATTCAGTGGTACTGACGTATACTACTGACCGGTACTAGACGCGATTGAGTGGTACTAGGAGTATTTAGTATTTTGTGGTCAAATATTATTTCACACCTAAGCTGTAGAATAACATTGCCGACCAAATATATATAAAAAATCATTAATATTTACAGTGTATAATAAGTATCATAATTAATTTATTTAGAATAAAAATGTTGCTAATATTTTCTGTAGAATGTAATCAAACTTAAGAAAGTTTGCAAGGAACCCAAAACGACACTTATTTTAGAAGTGGGGGAGAGCGAGTATGCACGCTTGATCACGACAATGTATTTCTAGAGCGTGAATGTTTTCTGTGATCGTCAAACCTACATTTGCTTGCAAATGGCTACATAATGTATCACAGCATGATGAGGTAAAGTAATGTTGTATGTAGGCATGTAGCCTATGGAATGGTAATATTAAATTGTGCATCAAGAAGAGTTGTTTCATTCAACAATCTGAACATATAAAGATGAGTAGTACTCCCTCCGTCCAGGAAAAAATGCAATTCTAGCACAATATCGTGGTTTTGTATTTTAAGTTCGATCAATTATGGATAAAAAATATTAATATTTATGATATGGAATAAATATTATTAGATTAATTACAAAATATATTTTTATAATAAATTATTTTAGAGCCGTAAATGTGAATAATATTTATTAGAAATTTAATCAAACGTGAACTAATTTTGTTGTCACGCAACACGTAGTTATATTAATGGAGTACTCTCGAAAACATAGAATGAAACTGTGTACTAGAACTGACACCTTAGATAGAAGCTAGGACTCCCAGCCAGCTCGTGGTGTTGGACGTGGCCTATGAGAGAACCACAAGCATAAAGCAAATTATGCATGCGTCGTGTGATTCCTATGTTCACATTGGGCCAGTTTGGTTCCTTTCTCTAGCTAGCCAGCATCACATCTAGCATTCAGGCTGCCGCTGGCCAGGACCATGCAGGGCACTGGTGTGTTGGTTACCTTGAGCTATTGGTTGCCCGTTCGCTAGTTTGTTATTGTGGTTGCTCTCTCTCTCACGCCCCATGCGAACCAGGTCCATAAGAAAACGGGATTAAAATTCGTTTCTCAGGAGCCAGGTCTAGCGGGAGTTTTTGCATGCCGCTAACAAGGCTCTGCCGCTCTAGTAACCATCCAGTGATCCAAACGTGAAGCTCTCACACCCCACGAGCCAGGTCCGGGTGGAAGCAGGTTAGCAAAGACGCCCATAAGCGACGATCCTTAGACCACAAATTCACAATCAACCACAACTACAAGTCTACAACATTCTTTTTGGAACTTAGAATTTTTTTCTGTTTATTACGTGTTTTATAAAATAAACTATTTTTTTACAAAAAAAATGTATAATTTGAATGAAATTTCTGCGTTCCGAGATGTTGTTACCGTGCAAAAAAAAAAAGCTACCGCAGCAGATTAAGCGTTTTTTTTATAAGGTAAGAAGATCAACCGATTAGTTGTATCAGCAGTGACGTCACGTGCTATGCCGGAAGACAGACGTGGTGTTGCCGGTTACCAATCACGTCCACATCGGGCCCTGAGGTCGGGTGACTGTCCACCCAAACCGGCAGAGCGGCCACTTGTTCGACAGCATTTACTGCTGCTGTGATTGATTTGTAGGAATGATTCGTCCCTCTCCGTTCGCCGTCGGCCCTCGGCCGTTCGCCCCTCGGCCGTGTCATTATAAAAGATTGTAATCTCTTGTGTCTTATAAAAAAATTCACGATGGTTTCAAGCCACCGCCCTATTTGTCAAGCTGTAGGTGTGAAAGATTTAAAATGCCTTCACCCATCTTGGAATAACGAAAAAATCGTCGCTCATATTTTTTTATGGAATTAAATGATCCTCGACCTCCGTAGAAAGTTCCAAAATCAAGGCCGCTGAGCCGAAAAAAATTAAAATAGGTTCAAAAAATATAATTACGATCTTTTATAACGACAGTCTCAATAACGAATCGTCGCTCGCTATCCCTCGGACCTCGGTACGTCGCATTAAAAAAAAAACGACAACGGCATCCTCTGGCTCTCCCGGTGCCGACCTGCCGTTCCCCATTTGTATCGTCCTTCTTCCGTTGCATCCTTCTCGTCTCTTCTGCTCGCATCTAGCCTCAGCCCTGAGCTCACCACCACAACCCGAGGCCGAGGGAGAGAAGGAAGGAAAAGGACGAATGGCGAGCTCTCAGTGCTGCGATAACCCGCCAGCCCTGAACCCAGCCAGCGGGGAGGGCAAGGTCGTCGACAGCTTCGGCGGGCTCAAGGCCTACGTCGCCGGCCCCGAGGACTCCAAGGCCGCCGTCGTCCTCGTCGCCGATGTCTTCGGTACTTGCTTCGTTTTCCTCCGAATCTGCTTCCCCTCGAGATCTTTCGCTTGGGGTATGACACGTTACAAGTACTAAAAGCCTTTCTCATCTTGCAGGATTCGAAGCGCCGATTCTGAGGTATCACTCCTTGTGACGGACTTCCCTCCTGTGTTCTTTATTAAAGTATTATATTATTTTTTGCAAACCCCTTGCATACAAAGATCTGAATCACTAGGGTTGATGGAGATGAACTGTGGTAGATTTTTAGGGGATATGTGACACCAATGATAGGTGATTATGACATTATGTGCTGCTAGTACTAGTACAGTCTAGGCTGCTAGTAAAAACTGTTGATTATTTTGCTCGACTTCTAGTTGACACTGAATAGTGCTGAAACTTGTATCCTGTTGCTTAGTTGCCGTATCCAATTCAGAGTCTATGCCAGTGGGTGTTAAGTCACCATCTCCTGCTGGTTCTGGGAGTTTGTTGCGACAAGATGGAAAAAAATCCTGTAAATCAGATCACAGTACAGCTACAGCAACTATTCACCGTTCACTATTAGTAAGTAGCCTACCTATAGGCTAAATAGCTTATTGCTTCATATATTACACTTGCATTCTTCCTGTGTGTTTTTGCAAATGGATCATTGGATTGTTATTCAGAAACTTTGGAACCGGACGACGTGTGTTCTTACTGTGTTGTATTTTAGAATGGTTCCCAAAGTCCAATACTGAAGTTTAATGATGACCACTTGTTGTGTCCTCTTTTAAATGCTACCAAATTTTATCATAATCACTGAGTGCCACCTGCAAACAGATTTTGATTGTATTTTCTTGTCTTATCTCAAGAAGGAAGATAGCCGACAAGGTTGCTTCGTCAGGGTACTTTGTTGTGGTACCGGATTTCTTTCATGGGGATCCTTATGTACCTGAGAATGGGAAGCCCATCCCTGAGTGGCTAAAGTCACATACTCCGGTTTGTTGTCCCCTGCCCGTTCCCTGAACCATTCCTGTAAATATTTGGCTGTACCTTGTTTCTATTTACGATGATTCAGATCAGATGAGAAATAAAAACTAAGGAGATAATGAAGAAGTTATTAGGTGGTTAAAGAATGTTTTAAACTCCTAACTGTCAATATCCAGATGACGCTAAACATGATCTAACAGCATCCATTATTTTGGCATTCAAATTGCTGTCTGTAATGTTACTGCTGAGTACGAATATATCTGATGAGTATGATCCTTCTCATTTAAATTGAACTAAAGTAGAATTTCCGACCTGCATACATACTGTTCACTGACAGTATGTTCTTTATGGTGCCATGAGATTTGCATCTCTGGTTCCAAATCTGAGTTTCTTATATTTAGTGTGTGTGTGTGAATGATACGACACAAGTTATATTGCAATAGTTAAAACTTAAAAAGGCTATTCTAAGCACCTTTGTACTTTGGTATCTTTATTTTCTCTTAACCCGTTTCTTGTAAAAGCATGGATTGGGTTGGAATTGACACCATGGTTTAAAAGGTAACTTGTAAAAACCAACCTATGCATGGATTGGGGGCTTGCGCCAAAAAAAGGCCAACGAGTGAGGGGCTTGATCACCTAGTGGTCCCGATTGGTAGTTTCTAAAATCCTAAAAACCAAATTACACTTACATTTACTGTCCACTAAACCTCAAATGGACCCCTAGCGTCTCATTTAGGGCCTGGGCATCCAATAAAACTCTGGGCACGTCTAGGCGGTGCACGCAGGCATGAGGTAGTGCTTAAGCGGCGCAGAAATGCGAAAAAGCGGCTGCCTGGCTGGCTTGGTGGGCTATGTGTGGCCGCCCAGGCTGGCGGGCAGGAAAAAAGCACCTGGAACTGGAAGAGCCAGTGAAATATGACGTGCAGGGATCAAAATTGCAAGTCCCTTCACCACTTCTTTGCAATTTTGTAAGAATTGGAATCAAAATTGCCTGAATGTGTTATCAATTCTTCTGAGATCGAAGTTGGGCATCTAATCTGAGCCATATGTGTTGCCAGAAAAAAATTAAAACAAATAAAAAACACAAATGCTTAATCATGTTTAATCTAACTTTAATCCATCTAGGCGCTAGGAAGTGGCCTAGCGCCTAGCGTCTTTTGGAACCTTGATTGTCACATATTGTTTCCTTCCTTTCTTTTGCCGAACAAATTTCATCAACAGAAAAAGGTATTTATTTGCTAGGAAAAAGGGTTTGAAGAGGCAAAACCAGTTATTGCGGCTCTAAAGGAGAAGGGAGTGTCTGCTGTTGGAGCTGCAGGGTATTGCTGGGGTGGTAAGTAACATTTTTCATTGTACCTGTGGTTCTGTAACCGTCATCTTATCATCTGAAGTTTTGGTCCGCTGAGCATTTGCTTTCCTCTCACATTCTCAGCAAAGGTTGTTGTGGAGTTGGCAAAAGCTCATGAGATCCAAGGTGCTGTACTGTTGCACCCTTCTTTTGTTACCGTTGATGATATCAAAGGTCAAACTTCTTTCTTGTGAATTCTGGAGATGCACAAACATTGTTCTATTACAAATGATTCATTTGTTAACTCTACTATCTTCCAATATAACATCAGAGGTCAAATGCCCAATTTCTATACTCGGAGCTGAGATTGACAAAATGTCCCCACCAGAGTTAGTCAAGCAATTCGAGCAGGTCCTTTCTGTGAACTCAGGGGTAAGTTCTCATTTTCAACAACTTACACCTCAAGCTAGATCATTTGCTTGAGTTACAGAATCAGCCAAAATAGTATTCCTCTAGTGCCAAATGCGTCATTCGTGCATATGCACTACCATCGCTAATAACTCCTTCCAAATCATGCTGGACGCTTCTTTGTCAATTTTCATTGAATACGTGCATGCCCTGTTTTTGTGGAACTTCTGATCTTGAACTGTTTTTTCTCCTGGTCCACAGGTTGGTCACTTCGTCAAGATCTTCCCTGGTGTGGCGCATGGATGGAGCGTGAGATACAGCCACGATGATGCAGCTGCCGTGAAGAGTGCTGAGGAAGCCTTTGCGGACATGCTCGACTGGTTCAACAAGAACTTGAAATGAACTCTGCAATTGCATCATGTCTTGTAATAATGCATATTCCACTGTCCTGGGATCGGATCTGCTGTGTTAGGGCTGCCATTCAGAGTTCTCTGGTCTTAGTTGTATTAGTAGACTGGTTGTGCTAAATACATAATAAACGAGGTAAACTAAGACGATGATAATGTGTCCATTTGCATTTTATATGGATTTTGTTCAAAAATATGTTTCATGCTTCTTTTTCTTCTCAAAGAGTTGCACATCTTTTATACTAGAGAGAAACAAAGGGTAAAGAGCCCCAAAAGAAGGGAATAAAAAAAAAATAACAGGGCATTAGGAGGCCAAATAAGGGTGCAAAATAAAAAAAAAACCAGGACTAATGCCCTTATGCACATATTTTGTGGACATCGACCCGGCCCAGGTTCTCGGGTTCATTTTCGATCCAAAGTATAAAAATCTCTCACAAGTAGTGTACCACGTTCCGCGACCATGTGCCTTGACCTTGTCGACCCGGAAACTTTGAAACTATGGTTTTGGTGTTAATTGACCCGTTTCGTGTGGTTTACTGTCTTGTCTGGTGCGGAGGTTTCTTGCTGATCCTTGTATTCTTTCCCTTTCTGGAAGTAGAAACATTGTTTTGTGGTGTGGTCTACTACTCCGCCGCAGAAGAAACAATACAGTGGCTTTGTATTCTTTGCGGGTGCTCTACCTCCGCGGCTTGTTTTGTTACCACCTCGACCTCCTCTTGGTGTCAAGCCTATGTTCGGTTTGTGAGAGCTCTGGACAGAGACATTGTCATCCAGCAGGGTCCCATCCCCTTTGACAATGTCACCCTTACGTTTGTTAGGCACAATGAGGGAAGGAATTGGAGGAGAGTGCTCTTCAATACTGAGTGTCAGTTGATGCTCATGGGGTTTCCCCCGGATTGTCAGGAAGAAGATTACTATCAGGATGCTATTGGGTCCTTTGGAAAGTTTCTGTACTTGCAGCAGGAAGAAAGAAGGTTGACCAGAGTCATCATCAGGGCACGTGTGATTGATCCGCAGTCAATACCACATTTCATTGTCTTTTCTGAATCTAGGGGCTTTGAAAGCGACTCGTGGACAGTGTAGTGCGAGGTCCTGCAGCACAATCTCTTGGTTGGTGAACCCTAGGATGAGGACCCGATCCCTGAATTGCCAATTGGGGATGGCGCACCATTTGCTTTTTTGGGCCTTGGGCAGCCTGGGGCTGGCCCAGAGCCACAGGATCAGGATCAGGATCAGGAGTCCTGAATAGAATGATGAGTTTCTGAACAGAATGCAGCTTGGAACGGTCCCTAGGACCCTTGGCCTCAGCCCCAGCAGCAGATGCAGCAGCAAGCTTTTCGACAGGACCTGAATCTTCAGCTAGTGTTGCCAACGGAAGTGGACCTGAATGTCCCGGCTCAGGAGCAGGATGACAATCCCCAGGAGGTTATACTGAACCTAGCTCAGCCCCTGGGTGATTTTCTGGAGGTAAATGATTTGCTTGAAGAAAACAATGTGGTGGAGGAGGTATTCTTGACCCAGGAATTTCAGAACAACTTACCCCCTCCAATGATAGCTGAAGAATAGCAGCTTCTTAACTTGGCTGATGATGAGTTACATCATGATGTGCCTATGTTGCCGGCCAATCATATTGCTATGCAGGTTGAGGATGCCCCTCTTGATCAGTTGGTGGACTTTGATAATGAGCTGAATTTACCTGATGACTTAATTGAAGATCAGGTAGTGCCGCCAGAGCAACGGAAAGTGGGCAATGATAACCATCAATTGAATGTTGGGATGGTTCTAATCAGAGATGAGGGGGTAGATCCAGCTTTTGCAGATTGGGAAAGGAGGAAGAACGCTAAAGCTACCAGAGCCTGGGCAAAGTTCTTCTATCCAGGCACTTTCTGCTAGGCAAAGGAGTTCCTGACATCAAAAGCTCTCCAGCAACTTGAAGGTAAATGTGGTCATGTTGATTTCTCATTGCCCAAGTGCTGCCCCTCGGACACTGGATTTCCCTGCCATTTAGAAGCTAGACAGCCCGAAGAGAAGAAAGGGAAAGCTATCCTGACCATAGAAGAGATACAAGAGGAAGAAATGAAAGATGATGGGCCGAGCCCAAAGACTGTGGGCAAGAAGAAGCCCAGCAAAAGGATGGCACCTTTGGTGGAAAGCAAGGTAAGAAGTCCTAGACTCAAAAAATAATAATGGGTCTAAACCTGACTGGCTGTCCTGATAAGAAATATCTAGCTTGTTCTCCATCACCTCCAACCCTATCCTCCAAAGTAATCAAGAAATTGGGTGTGCAGTTCTGTGAGATGGATCCTGAGGCCTTATAAGATGATGTCCTCAAGAAAAAAGAAGGCCACCCTTGTGATCAAGAAACAACGAGTGAAGAAGTCCAGTGGGCAGGAAGCAGAAAAGGAGAAAGAAGGGCCAGTTGGGCCAGAAGAAGAGGATCAAGCTGAGGACAGCTGAGAAGTTGATCCCTTCTACTTTTGTTTCCTTTTGACTTTTGATCATTGGTGGAATGTAATGATGTGAACCTTGCTATGCTCGGGTCACCTGTCTGTTCTTTTAATCAGTGTCATCATGAATTCAAACGCCAAAGGATGGCTAGTCCAGTTGGTTAACTGAGATATGCTAGTCACTCCGACGGCACCCTCCAGGTCCTGAGTTCGACTCCTAGTGGGAGCAAATTTCAGGCTAGGGGTTAAAAAAGCACCCCCATCTCATGGGTTACGTCTCCCGGTGCCAAAACACTTGGGGGTTTTTCTCGGCCCGTGTGAGAGACCTTCTTCTTCATGATAATGCTCGGGCAGCTTTGCTCTCCCAAGGTCGAAGTTTTTTTTATCATGAATTCAAGCAGTTTGTAGAAAATGGACTGCTTTTTCTCGGAATGTGAGAGGTATTAATGCTAGTTGGAAATGGAATAGGGATAAGATTGTGCAGTCCACTTGTGATATTGTGTGTCTTCAGGAAATGAAAAAGGAAGCCTTTGATAGGCAGTTTCTGAATAATTTCTGTCCTAGTAACCTTGATGTGTTTGATTGTTTACCCTCTATGGGTGCCTCTGGGGGGCATTCTTGTTGTCTGGAAAAGTGCTCTCTTTTCTGGGCAAAAAATCTTCAGTAATTAGTTTGGTTTGTCTATGGAGTTCACTTCTATTCATAATGATACTTCTTGGGTTTTGACCTGTATTTATGGGCCTTGTACAGTTGAAGGTGAAATCTTGTTTCTTGACTGGTTGAAAGAAATTCAAATGCCAAATACTATCGATTGGATGATCTTGGGGGATTTTAACCTGATAAGAAGGCAGGAAAACAGGAACAAACCTAGGGGAAATGTTAATGAGATGCTTTTGTTCAATGAAGCCATCAGTCTTCTGGGGTTGAATGAGATTCCTTTGCAAGGCAGAAAATATACTTGGTCAAATATGTAACCTTCCCCACTGTTAGAAAAGCTTAACTGGGTGTTTACTTCAGAAAGATGGATCCTTTCCTACCCAAACACTTGTGTAAAGTCTCTTGATATGACTCCCTCTGATCACACTCCTTGCCTTGTGAGTATTTCCACCTCTATCCCTAGAAGTAAAGTGTTCCGGTTTTAAAACTATTGGCTGTTGAGTGATCAGTTTTCTGGTATTCTGTCTGACTGTTGGGCTACTCCGGTTCAAGAAAATGACTGTGCTAAAATCATAGCAGCAAAGTACAAGCAGTTGAGAAGAAGGCTTAAGAGAATGGCAGGCCTCAAGATCTGGTCTGAAAACTATCATTGAAAATACTAGAGCAGTACTGCAATTTGTAGAAATTCTGGGTGATTACAGAGATTTGAGCATTGAGGAGTGGAATTTTAAAGAACTTCTCAAGAATCATCTTCTTTCTTTACTAGAACAACAGAGAGTCTATTGGAAACAAAGAGGTTCAGTTAAGTGGGTAAAATTTGGGGATGCAGGCACATGCTTCTTTCATGCCAATGCTACTATAAGGCATAGAAGAAATCTAATCACTGAATTAACATCTTGGGAGGGTGTGGCAGCAACTGATCATAGAGAAAAGGGAAAAATTATGTGGGATGACTTCAAAGATAGATTGGGTACTTCTGAGTTTGTGGAATTCACTATCAATCCAAACTTCTTCATCCAAAGAATTGACAACTTGGAAATTCTTGAGGCTCCCTTTAGTCATGTGGAAATCTATAACATTATTAAAGCTTTACCAAATGATAAGTCCCCTAGACCAGATGAGTTCAACAATGAGTTTCTGAAGAAAAGCTGGCCTATCATCAAGCGGGAATTCTATGATCTTTGCAATGCTTTTCCTTAGAAGTATTAATTATATTATATTACCCTTATCCCCAAGGTGGATGGTGCCAGGTCTGTCTCTGAATTCAAACCAATCTCCCTTCTCAATTCTTCAGTGAAGCTAGTCACCAAATTGCTTGCCAACAGATTGTAACCCATCATTACTTCTCTAATTCACAAGAATCAATATAGGTTCATTAGAAAAAGAACGATCCAGGATTGTCTTTCTTGATCATATGAGTACCTGCACCTTTGCCATCACTCAAGGAAAGAAATTGTCATCATTAAGTTAGATTTTGAAAAGGCCTTTGATAAAATTGAGCATCAGGCATTTTCACTTTGATGAAAGCCAAAGGGTTTGGGCAAAAATGGCTTGCTTGGATGCAGGATATTTTCTCTTCTGGTACTTCATCTGTACTTCTGAATGGAGTCCCTGGTAAAACCTTCCACTGTAAGAGGAAGGTTAGGCAGGGTGACCCTCTGTCCCCTCTTTTATTTGTGCTAGCTGCTGATTTCTTACAATCAATGATAAATAAAGCTAAAGACATGGGCCTGCTACAGCTGCCTATCCCAACAAACACCTCCAGTGATTTCCCTGTAATCCAATATGCTGATGACACCCTGATTATTGTGGAGGGTGACACAAGACAGCTCTTCTTTCTCAGATCATTGCTAAACAGTTTTTCAATGAGCATTGGGCTCAAGGTCAATTT